TAGAAATTAAATGGGGATATTAATTAAATATTCAGTAATGGTCTGTAGATACAGGAACTTTCTTTTGATACACACTAATATTATTCATAAGTGTATTGTTGTCGATTATCTTTAGTTCTACATAGCACCACTGAGGTCAAGGAATGATGATGTTGCTGAAAATGTTTAATTAAAATAATAAAGAAAAGACTATATGAATAACGTCATTAGGCATATTAGTAATGATAGAAGCAGCAAAAAATTAAATATACACAATAATTTAATAATATCTCAATTTTGAGTATTAGTCATTGAAAGGATATCAGCGATATGTAAAAACTCAGCCCGAATAGAGTAATTGCATAGCTGCAGTTTTATTTATTTTGCACCAAGAACACTGCTGAACTGTAGGGGTCCATACTCCGTTAAGGCTCTGATCAAACAGAGCTTGAATATTTATCATCATTATGGAGCACTTCAACATGGTGAAATAGTTAGCAAGCTTTTATCAATTGCGACTGAATAGTGAATTCGATCCTCACTGGGTGCCACATACGGCCTTATGCCGCAACTAAGCTAAGCGTAGTAAATCACTACATATCTTCTTCATGGACTTTCCTCGCGAACGGAGTCAGCAGTGTGCTCCAAATTTGTCGCAGTTTCGCAAGATGTACACACTACAGAATGACGTATCTAAGAGCAAATCTGGCAGCTGGAAGAAGCGCCAATTTTAGGGCTCACCCTCTTCTCTTCCACATTGTGTCTACAGCTTGATTCTGTAAGAGATTTAGTGAAAAATATTATATTTTCAGGATTTCCTAACAGCATTTTCAGCTTTGTCTTACTGATGGATAGGTAACATGAGTTGCTTCTAAGTCAGCAACTCATATTCCCTATCCATCAGTAAGGCAAAGCTGAATAATGTTCAGCACTTTATGCACCTGTGCTGTATTATATCCTCTTACACCAGATAACAGAAAATGCTACTTCTTACACGATTCAAATATATATTTTCACTCAATTAACAAAACCAGTTAACCCCTAACAGAATATTGAACAACACGATACTGACCTCCCTGTGAACTATCACTGACACAATATACTAATTCCATTCACCGATAGAATTTAAGGTAGTTACCATTTATATTTGTATCGCGATGATATTTGTTAGTTTAATTCGAGACTTTTTTTCACCCTCTACACAAATTAAAAACACAACAATATTACATTTAGCAGATTTAGATCCAAAGGAACAAAGACAAAATCGAACAATAGAATTTATCGATACAAGTTTGTTTGTTGGAAAATATTGGAGTTCTTCAAAGACTTTTCCCTCGGGAATATGAATTTGTAAAGAATGGTGAACATTACAATAATATAGAAGAAACAAAACAAATAATAATTATAACTTTCCTGATTCAATACGGACAACAGAAGTCATTTTGTTTCCACTTCTTGGCACGTGTTTTCATTTATCCGACTTATCTCTACCCTCCTATTTTTCTAGGGAGGAAATCATGGCCAAGTTGAATGTCAATGATACAGATGACTCAGGGTGACGGCCGTGTATTCATTCCTAAATATTATTACTGTCAAAATTATGTAATCAGTCCCAATCTCAATGTGATCTATATTTGCTAACCTGAAAAGAATTAAGTCACCAATAACAAGAGACAGATTGCAAATACTTAGAAGGCTACCTGTATCTAATGAAGAAATAACTATGACATATAAAGTTGAAGATTGAACCCATCGTTACTGTAGGTCTTGGAACAGCTATGAAGGACCTTACAAATTAATTGAAGGAATTGGAAATGCAAAGAACTACGGAAAATTCTAGACATGAGAATTAATATCACAGAAAACAAAAAAAAAGATGTTACTCGAGTATTAAAGTGAGATACAACGAAAAGTGCTGGATATTTTAAAAGCCAATTTATCTGCCAATCTCTAGAGATAAACACCAGATATTTGCTAGGAACATGTACATAATAATAACAACAATAAATGTTCGTGGTAATAACAACATAAACCTAATTCCACATTTTATTTGTGCTGATTTCATGTACAGACACTCTCAAAACAATGTAAAACCTACGTAGACGTAGACAAAAGATTTCTTTTTCTTTTTATATCATTTCATACGATGTGTGCAAAACATAAAGGTTATTCTCGCAGGAAATGGAATCTTCGAACCGAGTTCAAATTTCGGCCAATGCTTTGCGTTCATTTTAGCACTAATAATGTGATCATTCTCTTCTTCCCACAGTCCGTGCGTTAAATGGAAAGGTAGACCAAATTTTAATGGCAACCATTTTCGGGGAAAGATATCTCTGAATTTGAAATCGAAATATGGTAAAAGGAAACCTCTCCACTATCTTTCCCATTTGATAATATATATCCAATATTGTTATAAATTCAAATATTATGCAAATAATAAATTTCACAAAAATTTGTATTAAACAACTTATATTGATAAATATTTTATGATATAATTATTTATGTTAAAAATTGTGAATTT